AATCCCTTTATTTGTTCAAGATTAGTTGAAAATCCCTTTATTTGTTCAAGATTAGTTGACAATCCCTTTATTTGTTCAAGATTAGTTGAAAATACCGTTATTTGTTCAAGATTAGTTGACAATCCCTTTATTTGTTCAAGATTAGTTGACAATTCCTTTTCTTTGTTCAAGATTAGTTGACAATTCCTTTTCTTTGTTCAAGATTAGTTGACAATTCCGTTATTTGTTTTTATCATGATTTCTGTTTTTCTTTCTATTTCTGGAGTCAAGTTTTCCTGAAAATATTTACCGCAAGATATTTTAGTTTTGCACTAGGTTAGTTTCTAACTTCCTAAGGATCAGCTTGTTAAATATTTTTTGAGTTTTAAATTACATCATTTACATCTCTAGAGATCTGAATCAACGTTTTGTTAATCTTTGATCAGGCATTGATTTGATCTCCATCTATTGTAGATCTACAAATTAACTTAATTTCTCTTCGATATTCCTTGGTAATCCTAATTTGCAGGAATAACTGTATTGATCCTCATATTAAAACTGCCCTCATTGGATATTGAGATCAAGTATTCAAGATAAACGATAATCCACACTTTTGACTTCGGAATTTTTGCTTTGTTAACCTCTTCTTAAAAAAACTACTTTATGTCTTAAACAGTTCAATGGATTAAGTGAATTCCTTTTGTTCTTGTGTAAAGGACTTGTGAACTATAAGCCACAAAACATTTTCTCTTTGCTAATCAGAGAAGCCGTTTTAAGCGACATATCACTCGTTCAAATTGAAAGTTTTCGTTGTAGATATCAAGTTCAGTTGTTAAGGATTACCGCTATATCCTTTAAAAGTTCCGACTGACAAGGGAACCCTTTAACGGGATGGTCCAGTGAAAAAGAACCAGGTTTACTCTCAAAACATGATGCTGTAAAAACATTCCCACTTTCTTTGATGGTAAACCTGTAATTGATGTAAATGGAAGGTGAAGTGTGATGACATTAATTGAATCAATTTATTTTTTTTCTACAAATATTAATTATACAATATATGGATTTAATGGAAGATCTAATAAGATGATAAAATAAAAAGTTCCCATAAGAAAACTAAAATGTTTATGTATGTTCAGTGTTGCTACTGCTCTTCAAGAAGGTTTCCTACCCTACTGTGAACCTGTCTTTAAACGTTGTGTATCTCTTGTAGAGCAAACACTCAACCAACATATGGCGCATCTACAGAATAGTCAACAGTTTGATCTACCAGATAAGGTTAATATCTAGTAACTATATATATATACAGAATAGTAAACAGTTTGATCTACTAGATAAGGTTAATATCTAGTAACTATATTTATCTACAGAATAGTAAACAGTTTGATCTACTAGATAAGGTTGGTATCTTCCAAATAGCTATATAATATATATCTTACGAGCTGAAGGCTCCGGCGTTGCCCGTTGAAAAAAAATTTGAAAAATGTTACAAAAAAAGTTTTAAAAAATGTTGGAAAAAAGAAATAAAATTTTCGAATTTGTTTAGCCTATAACACCCCCGCCCACCCATGTAGTGTCCTCTAAAAATTTGAGCCCAATTGAAAGTTTTATCCCAATCGGTCCAGCCGTTTGGCCTGCTATAGGCAACATATATATATATATACGAATGTCTTGTTTTATTATATAGAACATGTAGTATTTACCAACTATATAAATGTTTATGCAGATAAAGTATACCAACCGTATTGTTATAATGAAACAGCCTCTGTAATTCTAAACATCCCAATACAGAGAACAGCTGGCCTGCTGGATATCTATATATACACCACCAGGACAGATAACAGCTGCTGGTTATCTATATACACCACCAGGGCAGTGAACAACTGCTGGTTATCTATATATGCACCACCAGGGCATTTCTGAGGTCAAAATAAATATTCGAGCGTTCTGACCGGCGCGCTAGTAGCCGGCAGTTACATTATGGGTCATCTTCCCACATATTTACATGTTGTATGTCGATTTATAGGTTATTGGGCACGAGGAATTCATTTCTGAGGTCAAATTTAATATTTGAGCATTCTGACCGGCGCGCTAGTAGCCAACTATTACATTATGGGTCATCTTAGTACATTTTTTACATGTTGTATGTCGATTTAATTTTGTAAATATGCGAAAAATAAAATTAAATCTGCGAACTCCTTTTTATTGTTTCATATTGTACAAGGAGAAGATGCTCACAGAAAGAGCAATAGTGCACTTAAGATCAGCAGTTAGAACCCTAAATTGGTTATCTGGCAATAACATCGGATTTCCCTTGTTTTTAACTTAAATTATTAGGATAATGATTCACGACTTTTTCCAAAAATGTAATCAAATCTAATTATTATGGACAACGGATGTCCGTTATTGCTTTCTATCTTAGATAATATTAAAATACTACTTAACTTATGAATTCAAGACCAGTCTGAATACAAACTATATAAGAAATCACTTCATTCATTCTTGAGTATTCAATTAACTTTAAGTATTGGGTGTGGATAGTAGGACATCCTTAGAAGTCTGATTTGATCAAAGAGAATAGAATATATATTAGAGTAGAATTTACTAGAAAAAAGTGTAAAACGGCCATTTTGTTGTACTGTTTCCATACTGCAGGTGTACTTCACATATTTATGCTATATAACCTTTTGGGCCCTGGAATATCATTTTATAAAAAATCTAAAATTAATATTAAAGAAAACCAAATGAATTAGGCTGATTTCATAATTGACCAATGATCTTTTCACATATGCCTTTCACTTTACAAACGATGATTTTCCGTTATAACTATAAATCAAATGAAGTTTTTTATTCAACTAATTCATTATAAAGTTTATTTAACAGCTTTAAAAAATTCGAAATTGAAATGGATAGTCTAGGGAACATACTGTATTAATGTACTCTACTTCATATAATTTGTGAACATTTACATGGTTTACATGGTTTCAGGCTTAAAGGGACTGAAAAAATTCATACCGAGGGATTGTTTAAATTCCGCTCTATTATATATTCTATTCTCTTTGGATTTGATATAATCAGTTTCGTCTCTAAAAAAATCTACTGTTCTGGATTTGATAAAAATCCTTTTTTTCCAGATTAATATTTAGAATTGGAGTTTTATCATTTTTTTTTTTTTGCAGGATTTTATGATTGTAGCCCTTGATCTGCTATCAGGATTGGCTGAGGGGTTGAAGACTCATATTGAAGGATTAGTGTCTTCCTCTAACATAATGCAGCTTCTATTCCAGTGCATACAGGTCGCTAACTTATTCAATAATTGTTCTTATATTTCCTTCAGTTATTTACCCGTTTTACGTAGTTTTACGTTTTGATTTCCCCGTGTTTTTTACTTGGTTTTACCCACTGTATTTTACGTAGTGTTACCCACTTGTGTTTTTACTTAGTTTCCCCCACTTGTGTTTTTACTTAGTTTCCCAGCGTTTTTTACTTGGTTTTACCCACTTGTGTTTTTACGTAGTGTTACCCACTTGTGTTTTTACTTAGTTTCCCAGTTCCCAGCTTTTTTACTTAGTTTTATCCACTTGTGTTTTTTACGTAGTGTTACCCACTTGTGTTTTACGTAGTGTTATCCACTTGTGTTTTTACTTAGTTTCCCAGCGTTTTTTACTTGGTTTTACCCACTTGTGTTTTTACTTATTTTCCCAGCTTTTTTACTTAGTTTTACCCACTTGTGTTTTTACGTAGTGTTATCCTCTTGTGTTTTTACTTAGTTTCCCCCACTTGTGTTTTACTTAGTTTCCCAGCGTTTTTTACTTGGTTTTACCCACTTGTGTTTTTACTTAGTTTCCCAGCTTTTTTACTTAGTTTTATCCACTTGTGTTTTTTACGTAGTGTTACCCACTTGTGTTTTTACTTAGTTTCCCAGAGTTTTTTACTTAGTTTTACCCACTTGTGTTTTTTACGTAGTGTTACGCACTTGTGTTTTTTACGTAGTGTTACCCACTTGTGTTTTTACTTAGTTTCCCAGCGTTTTTTACTTTGTTTTACCCACTTGTATTTTTTACGTAGTGTTACCCACTTGTGTTTTTACGTAGTGTTACCCACTTGTGTTTTTTACGTAGTGTTACCCACATGTGTTTTTTACGTAGTGTTACCCACTTGTGTTTTTTACGTAGTGTTACCCACTTGTGTTTTTACTTAGTTTCCCAGCGTTTTTTACTTAGTTTACCCACTTGTGTTTTTACGCAGTGTTACCCACGCGTGTTTTTACTTAGTTTCCCAGCGTTTTTTACTTGGTTTTACCCACTTGTGTTTTTTACGTAGTGTTACCTACGCGTGTGTTTACGTAGTGTTACCCACTTGTGTTTTTACGTAGTGTTACCCACTTGTGCTTTTACGTAGTGTTACCCACTTAAGTTTTTACGTAGTGACACCCACGCTTGTTTTCCCCTGCGTGGTTTTACGTAGTGTTACCCATGCGTGTTTTTACGGAGTGTTACCTACGCTTGTTTTTTCTTGCGGGTTTTTACGTAGTGTTACCAACGCGTGTTTTTACGAAGTGTTACCCACGCGTGTTTTTACATTGTGTTACCCAAGCGTGTTTTACGTAGTATTTTCCACACGTGTTTTTACGTAGTACCCACGCGCGTTTTTACGTACTATTTTCCACGCGTGTTTTTACGTAGTGTTACCCACGCGTGTTTTACATACTATTGTCCATGTGTGTTTTTAGTTTTACGTTTTATGTTTTTTACCGGAGCCCGCGATTTAATAGCTTCGGCTCTAGTCTCAATTCCTTAGACCCAGGTTTAAGCCTCAATCTTAGACCCAACTTATGAATAATCTGACAGCAGCTTGTGTCATGTGATCGACAGCTGCCAGCTCGTTGGCTCGTAATAAGGAGTTAAGCCCAATAAAAATAAATTCGACCTTGGTTGGTTTTAGGGGAGAATTAGTTGCAACTTACATCCTAAAGTATCATTGATAGCTTGGACCTGAGTCTGATTATCCCGAATTTTTAAAATCGCGGGCTAGGGTGTTTTCTGCAAATGAAGCGAGAAGATTATAAATTTTCAAAAAGTTGGAGTTTTTTTGCTCCGTATCTTATTATAAATACCCGAAATTTCATTTGTCAGCCCAAATATTTGATAACGTATTTCTTGCTGTTTTTCGGTTTTTACAATTTGAATTAAATTGACTTTTATTTCACTTTTTCTGAGATCTATTTTTTCACAAAATTATTTTTTTATGAATCTGTAGGGTTAAAGATTATCAATTAATAAATAATAATGATATTATTCTAGGACAATATGCCTGAAGTGAGACAATCTAGCTTTGCTCTGCTCGGAGATCTTACAAAGGTAAACAAGCATGTTGGGGCACAATTTATTCAGAGCCCGCGATTTAAAAGCTTTGACTCGAGTCGTAATTCCTTAAATCCAGAGTTAAGGCTCAATCTTTAAAAAAACTTGAGAAAAAATCCACGAAAGTACGATTCTTTTTGAGTTGAGAAGTCATGATAATATGCTCTCAAAAAAAACGTAATGCTTGCAGATTACCATTAACATTTTTTGCGGAAATTTTCTCATATCTCCTTCAATTATTCGTGAATCTTTATGAAATTTTGTAAAACATTAGAAAAAACATTTGTCAATCAAATTTAAAAGAAATCTAATTTTTTCCAAAAAAATGGTTTTGCGGATTTTTTTTTAAATGTTCTAAATATATTTTGGAAAATTGTTTTTATATGTTTTATACCTAAAATCCGATTCAAACAAAAATTTAGAAAATGTTGTCCAAAACATCGATAATCCCGGTTTTTTTACTCACTTGTTTATATTTTAGTTTTCGTGTATTGTGTTTTTTTTAAGCTGAAATATTATTCAGTTTTAATATGAATTTTAGCGTTCTTGCATTCTGTTTTATAGAGTAAATTTTTCATTTACAAGACATTTACAATTTTTCATTTTTCCATCTGATGTATTTTTTCTTTTCATCTTGTCGAATAATTAAATACGTCACGTGTTAGTGTTAATCTGTTTAGGCATGTTTTGTTCATGTTCATCCTTGTATCACAGAGTTTATGCCAGTTCTATCCAATAATCTGAACCCGGAATATATCAGGTATAATAGTAGGGGTTTATCTAGGACATTAGCAACGTTCGCTTACGAACGGAAATTTTAAAGAACTCAGGGAAGATTCCGTTAACGAACGGTAAAGCCCGTTAATTTTGAAATCGTGAAAGAGCCAAAATACCTGTTCATGAAAAACAAAAAAGAACGAACGCCGGCTTAAGTAAAGCTTTCTGCTTAAAAACGCATGAAACTTGCAGAATATGGAAAATAAATTTTTGTGCGTTTCGAGGTTTTTACTGTTTTATTTTTATTTTTTCCGACATTTTTTCCTGGAATTATTAACTTAAAGAATTAATTTTGAAAAGACGGAAAATACCGTTTAATGAATTAAACGTGTAGTTCTTCGCTAAGAACAAACGGTTACCTGAAACCTTAGTTCGTTCTGTTAGTTTAAACAACCGTTAACAAACGGCTTGAAAGAAGCCCTAGATTCGTCTATCCAGCACAGACTTAAACACGATTATGGGAGGGGGGTGGAGGCCGCCCCCCCCCCCCCCCCAATCTATAAATAAGTCCAGAGCTAAAAACTTTAGAATGGAATATCCCAGGGGTGTATGTTAGTTGTGAGACTCATAATTTTGCCGCCGCCCCCTTTTCAGAACAATATTTTTCCCCAAATACACAACTTAAAAACAGGTATATTTTACAGGTTTATAAGGGGGGGGGGGGGTAGAGCCTTCCTTGCAAGTGAATTTTTGGATTTTAGTAGTAAAATGAAGCGTTTTGATGCCCTGAAAAAGTTAACTTTAGGGTCCCCTCTGAAGTTTTTTAGGCATTTCTGATACTGTTTTTTTTAAATTGTGTTTTTTTTTGTAGTTTTTCCCTTCCCTCTTCCTTTTCTCTTCCCTTTTTCCCCTTTTCCCTTCCCTCTTGCCCCTTTTCACTTCCCACTTGCCCATTTTCCCTTTCCTCTTGCCATTTTCCCTTCATTCTTCCCCTTTTTCCCGGGGTGGGGGAGCAAACAGAAAAATATACACCCCTGGGATATCCTTAATCCCGATCTGTTGAATAATCTGGAGATTTATAACATGAGGATTACAAGCAATATTTAATCTGGAGATTAAGTAAAAGAAGAGGTCAAAAATTGATCTCGACATCCACCATTCCAAAGTTTTCTGTTCAGATTAGAAAACATATTAAACATATTTTAATGTGTTGAATGATTTAGTGTGTGCAACAATGCTACGTGGGCAGCAGGAGAGATCAGTGTTAAACTAGGTAAATATAAAATATGACTGTGCTTGATTTTACAGTCTTTTCAAAATAAAGAAGAATCATGTTCCTTCAATCTTTCTTGTTAAACTTTCGGGCTTTAAAGCTTGTTTTTTTTTAAAGAATTCATTAAGAAACGAAATTTAAGAAAACATCAAATGATTTTAAGGAATAAAAATAATAAGTAAACGATACCGGCAAGGTCTGAAAAGGTATTTTGTTCCAGGTGGAGACATGGCACCCTTTGTCCCCAGTATTTTGCCTCCTCTGATCAACATCATCAACCGACCTAACACTCCTAAAACTCTTCTAGAGAATACAGCTATCACTATAGGCAACCAATCAATTTAATTCTTCATACTTACAATTATAAGAAACGTCGTTATTTATTTATGTGAAAATTGATGTTATCTCAGAAACATGTTTTATGAAACGATATGTCCAAATAGTCAAATGTATCAGACTAGGCTATCTTCTATTTCAACTGTGAACATTTTCTCTTTGTATACATTGAAAAACAAAAACAAAAATAAGAAATTTGATCATCCATAAAACTTCCCTGGGGTCACGTGATGTTCCTTCACAAGGATTTTGTTAAGGTCTTATTCGATGAAATGGGAAAAAATAAAAGATTTTTAGGGAAAAAGAAATTAATTGGGTAATAAATATGAAAAAGGATAATACAAACTTGTCTTTTAATGCACAATTTTTATGCTTTTCTCCCGGATCTTCAAATATCACTTTTACAAAAGATATACACCACTTCTTCTCCAAAATTAAGGTTCATATTTCAATTATTTTGAACCAACGTGATTTCTTGTAGGCCACGTTTCATAGTACTTAATGGGAGAGTCTCTAATATTTCAAGTATTATTATTATTATTAAAGGACAACCCATCATTCAATGAAATAGGGGTCGGCGCTCCTATAAAACATTCAAATTGTAAAATTGGTATCTGCGACTTTCTGTAAGATTTCGAATATTTGTACAATTGCATCCTAATTCTCCTGGTAAAAGGATTGCCTAAATACGTTAATGATTTTTTATAGTACTTGTGTTTAATTGATAAGAATAGTGTTCAGCCAACAAGATGGATTTACATCCACTGTCCCTTATTAAATACATTATAGTACTTGTGTTTAATTGATAAGAATAGTGTTCAGCCAACAAGATGAATTTACATCCACTGTCCCTTATTAAATACTTTATTTGACAAATACTTTAATATAAATGCTTGGAAATGCATTCAGTTATAATTCCATTTTCCAAATTTATTTTAAAATGTTCAGTTATTTAGAAATAATGATTATAATTTTGAAAATTCTATATCTTTTCCCATAGTTAAAAATTATTCTTTTTTAAGTAAAACTCTCAACAAGATTTTATGCTAGGTCTTGTTTTTCTATTTTACCCCCCCCCCCTCTCTTTTTTTAGTTGATGTCAATGTATAGTATTATCCAATACTATTCAGATTAATATTGTTGAATGCAGTCTACAGAAAATATTGAAAACTTCCTTCTTTTTCTTTTAGTTTTTAGAAACTTTAACTTTTAACCTAACGTTAAATATTTTATTTCAGTGAAAGTTTTTGTTTATTAAAATTAGACTAAAACTTCCTGTAAAATTGGGCACTTACAGGACTGATAGCGTAATTTCAAGTGATTCTCCATAAAAAAAAAAGAGTGGCATGTCCGATTCACAATAGTACTCGGTAAAGGGTACTCGAGTATCAATTAGATATCTAAGATTTTTTAACAGTTGGAATTAGAAAATTTTAGTTTGGGGACAAGTTTTAGCGCCATTTATAGTCTTCTAACGCTAGGTTGAGAATTCTAAATGTATGAAAATTATTGTAAAACGCTGCATATCATAATATTGAGCGATTTATTGATTGGTTGATTGATTGATTATTTTTTTTTTTAATTTGATTGATTGGTTGAACAGGCCGGATGGGTTTGGTTTGTCCCGGAATAGTGGCTCCCAGCCTGGCACAGTTTGTTAGACCCTGGTGCACCAGTCTCAGGAATATCAGAGATAATGCTGAAAAGGTGAAAATTTCATAAATCTTTGATATTTTTTAAAGCCATACTTTATAATCCTGTTCAATGTAAATAATTTCGAGAATTTATAAATAAGGAGCGTGTTTCACTTGTGCAAGTGAAAGTTCAATAAATCTTAAACTTTAAGGGTGCTTCGCGCCCCTCTTTAGTGGAATACATTTTCATAAAATCAACGGTACTTTAATTTTTATTGAAAATGGCATTCTAAGATTAATTTGATTCTTTTTCTGACAAAAAAAATTCAACTGCAATACATGTCTTTCACACTCCATACTTTTCAATCTTGGGAGAACTTTCTATCTGGTTAATACTTATCAATCTGTGGAGTACTTAACCAATCTGGGTATTAATTATAAATATGCTGGGGAGTACTTAACCAATCTGGGTATTACTATTCAATATGGGAGTACTTAACCAATCTGGGTATTACTATTCAATATATGCTGGGGAATACTTAACCAATCTGGGTATTACTATTCAATATGCTGGGGAGTACTTAACCAATCTGGGTATTACTATTCAATATGCTGGGGAGTACTTAACCAATCTGGGTATTACTATTCAATATGCTGGGGAGTACTTAACCAATCTGGGTATTACTATTCAATATGCTGGGGAGTACTTAACCAATCATGGGACTACTTATCCATCTGGCGAGTACTTATCAAGATGGCGAGTACTTAAAAAGATTCAAGGTGGGGAGTACTTATAAAGATATGAAGTTCTTATCAACCTGGGGAGTACTTCTTAAACTGCAGTAAAGTACTTTTAATCTAAGTCGTGATTTTTAATCTGGGGAATTCTTTTAATCTGAGAAGAGAAGTTAACCTAAAGATCTCATGTATTAAATATGAATATCTAGGATTCGGCTTTCCGTGGGATGTGTCAGATGATCAGTGTAAACCCTGAGGGAGTTCTACCTGACTTCATATTCTTCTGTGACGCAGTAGCTAGTTGGGTCAGTCCTCAGGCTGATCTCAAGGATATGTTTACGAAGATCCTACATGGGTTCAAAAACCAGGTATTTTCAGGCCTGTCAGTTTTAGCGTCCTAACACCTCATAACTTATCTTATAAATTCGATCTAAAGCTTAATTTACTACGTTTACTTCATCTTTTTCCTTTTTGAACTTTTATCTTGTTTATCTGTTTTGTTTAACACATCTTATCTTGTTTATTTGTTTTGTTTAACACATCTTATCTTGTTTATCTGGTTTGTTTAACACATCTTATCTTGTTTATCTGTTTTGTTTAACACATCTTATCTTGTTTATCTGTTTTGTTTAACACATCTTATCTTGTGTATCTGTTTTGTGCACTTATTATGTTTTTATAAAAACCTTTTTTCTTCACTGAGCAGTTTATCCGTCTGAAAAATTGAAAAAATAATTTAATTTCAAATCTTCAATTTTGTGTTTGATTTTTCTTTTATTTTCTTTAATCCTGCAAAGATCTGGTCTTGATTTGAACCTATTTGCTCCCCCCCTAAAAATATTTCTTTCTTTTCCTATTTTTTGTACAGGTTTCTCTCACTGATGTTGGGAAAATTAATTAAAGTTTGGGGTTCTCTCTTTCTTGAAATATTTTCAAATCTTATATCTTTGTAACCTGATGCCGAAGACCATAGATTATCCGCACTTTGTTCTTTTTGGAAACAAATGGGAATAAGAAAACGGTTCCTATGAAAATATAACTATAGAAAGTTTGTATGAGTTGGGAAGGGTTGAGAGGTAAACTATTGTTTGTCTAGGTTGGGGAGAAAGCTTGGTTAGATTTCTCCCAGCAGTTCCCTGCACCTCTCAAAGAGAGGCTTCTAACCAACTACAATGTTTAACAGGTAAATTTATATCCCTGGTCCCAGCATGGTTGGTAACCCCTTAAAGATTATCTGATAGTTCAGATTCAGCTGGAAACAAAATGTTTAGTGGGGGGAATAATTTGCCCAAAAAAAGATACCCTTATTTAATCTTTTCTCCTACCTGTAATTTTGGCTCATCCAAGATTTATCTTCCTTAAAAGTCGAAGCTGCAAAATTATCAACGCTCATTAAGAAAATATCTAAAAGGGGTATCTATCTGAATTTGCGAAATGTTCAGACTTTTCAGATCTTTCATTTTGAATGACGGAATAGTCCTTTTACTCTACTATAAGAGTGTATATTCCCCCCCCCCCCCTCGGATGGGGATTGATTTTATACGGTTCCCTTTCCCAAATAATCATTGATTTTTTTTGAGGGAGGGGAAGGAATTCCAGAAAAAAACCTGTCGTATTATTATATTGTAATTATTTGTTCAGGTGTGTCGGTGTATCGATGTATCGAGAGTTCGTCACAAGAATCCTGCGTCAGGGTTCAAACAGTTACGGAGTTAGCGTATATATTATTAACGAGGTTACGGGTTGTATCGCCTAGAGGAGGATCCACGGAGTTCAGTACACGAGTATTCAATCTTGAAACATTTATAGTTTATTCTTGACAGACCGCAGGTTTATGTAAACAAATTATTGACAATGCTACAAATATTTATGTAAATTATCCAATTTCTTTTTTTTTGTTAACAGATTTGCAATACATGGTTTCTATGATTGGACAGTAAGGCTGGTTCTAAGCTAAAGAGATTAAGGCTGTGTTCTTAACATAGAGATATCAAGGTCTACCGACATATCTCCCATCATTCAGTTTAGATTAAACCTTAATTCTCAATAGTTTACTTCCAACGTTTTCCTTGCGTTTGTCCTACCCGGAGTAGTCAGGGTTAACCAAAATATTTTGATGGGGGTGTAATTCTTTCATCTTATTCCCTTTATTATTCCCTTCCTATTCTGATTCTTTTCCTCTCTTATTTTAATCTTTTCTCCAATTTTGTTTACCTTAAATGGGACTGGATGAGTAATTTCTATTGGCGCTTTTTATTTTAAAAATTATGTGCATGATTCATTACGTTACCAGTTAAACCAGAGCTGAAAACTTTAGAATGGATAAACTTTAATCCCAACTACTTAATCCGAATATCCACTGTGGAAACTTTTTATTTTAGTCCTTAATCCACTCTTTTTCTCTCTCTTTGGATATCCGTTAATTGTTTACTCCAATTAGAATATTTCTGTTCTCTCATTGGTTGCCCGCTTTTCTCTGATTGGCTGCTACAGTTTCTCAGATGATTAAATATTAATTTGAATTTTATCGTTTTTCATACACTTTTAAGATAATCTTGCAAGATTATGTTAATCTGGAGATCAAGAAAAAGAGTGAATTAAGCCTTAATCCCGATATCCACCATTCAAAAGTTCCCAGCTCAGAGCAAACATTTTCTTCTTTTTCATTTGCGGTATATCTGTAGAATTGACTTGCAGAGTTATGCAGCAGATACAAGGAAGGAAACGGACAAGATTAATTTTGTGACAAAATAGAGAAACGACGATATCTTCCTCAATTTTACTCAGACGAAGGTTTATATGGTATCCCTCTTATTGATTGATCGAACAAGTATTTTTAAAGTCGGGGCCTCTAAAAATAACTTTAGGTAATTCTCTTTATTCCTTTTGTCCTTCTCATAGATTACACCCCTGGTTGTTCTAGGGTATTTTTGTTTTTATTAAGGCGTCGCGTTGAGGGCCAAATTCATCCATTCTACTGTGATATTCAACATTACTTTACACGCTGAAAACATTTTTTAGACTTTTACTAAATTGCTCAGAAACTGGTGTAAATGGGAACCCTTAAAATAGTATTTGCGTCGCGTGATTAATTAGAAACATAAAATCCAAAATTTTGCATATTTGTTTTCAATGTAACTAAGGCTGTGTAGGTTTATTCCTAAACCCGGGGCAACCCTCCTTATATCCGCAGGTTTATTGCGTCGTTAAACGCGTTCAATGCGTTCTAGTGTCATTCGTTAAAAGTGTATAATCTTATGGTAACGAGGTTCGTCTTTATCATTACTGTAGTAATCTACAGACACGGCTTTACCAAGTTTTCTAAATTTTCTCCTCATTTCCTTTAATTAAAATAATAAATAAAATAATATAAAAAGAGTAAAATTAAACAAAGGTCGAAAGTAAAATAATATTAACGTAAGATACCTGTGATAGATATATAATTTGTTGTTGTCACTTAATTTAGTTTAATAGTTGGTTATCAAATGTATTCTTCTATTCCTTCATATTTTTCTTTATTGATCCTTTATCATGAGTTCAACCATAAACCAACACTTAACTAAATTTCTTTTCTTCTCTGAGTCTATTTTATCTTTAACAATATAATACTCATAAAAATGAAGTTATTTAGTAAATTATTTTTCCTTTTCCGTTCCCTTTTGTTCTTCCTTCTTTTCTGATCAGTGGAAAACTTGCTGAAGCCGTGTTCTGTTTAGCTAATAACCCGTTGTTAAAATTATCGTTTTCATTATACAGTTCTCTTCTACTTCACTGTACCGTTTTAACACTTATGTACTGTACACTAGGGTTGGTACATATTTAACCTTATTCGTCACCAATCTTCCCCCCCCCTTACCCTCCAGAATTTATATTTCAGATCAGATTCTTGTTATTTTCATGAACTAACAAAAAAGATACTTTAAATTTCAATCTTTTGGTATTTTTGACATTTTTTGTAGCCATCGTTAAAGCTCATTAAATTTAGGATAAAACTGTAATTACTAAAACCGCCATTTTAATTTTAGTTAGTTTATCCTCGTGTACCGATCTTAGTGTACACTGTACAGTTTTAATGTACAAACTGAACATTCTTAACGTTTGCTAGTCGTTAGCAATCATACGCCTTAACTTCTTCGCCTTTAACTTTCGCCTCAAATTATTCCAGAAAAATGTTAAAAATGTTCAGTTTTATTTGTATCAAAATTGTAAACATTTCAACGATTTCAATTGTTTTGACTGAAAGTTTCTGATTTATATTCGTTTCTAAGGAATCCTTTTAACACTACTCATCTTTAACTTTTCCTAATTAACATTGTCCTGTGAGTAATTCTTGATAATTCTAATTCCACATCTCTTGCATAATAGGATATACTCGTCGCTACATAATAGGATATACTCGTCGCTACATAATAGGATATACTCGTCGCTACATAATAGGATATACTCGTCGCTCTACATAATAGGATATACTCGTCGCTACATAATAGGATATTCCCGTCGCTACATAATAGGATATACTCGTCCCTACATAATAGGATATACTCGTCGCTACATAATAGGATAAAATCGTCGCTACATAATAGGATATACCCGTCGCTTAAGTATTTGAAACTGCTAAAGAAAACCAAAATATTATGTTATCTGTATTTTTGTTAAACTTACGATGTTTGGAGGTCTTTCGATAGTAGCTCGAATAAGTTTTTCGAATTGTACTAAAATTCCAACGGATTTCATTATTCTGGATAATTTTAAAGAAAATGATAATAAAAATCAAGAATTTGTTTTTTAGCAATGTGATAGAGCTTTTTGAAAATTAAGGAGCAATCATATCCTAGTTTTTTTAAGGTATTGAGCGAAAATTTGAGATTATTTCGCACTCTCGGTACATAGTGCTAGTGCCCACGATACAAAGTGCTAGTGCTCTCGGTACTTAGTGCTAGTGCGCACGATACATAGTGCTAGTGCTCTCGGTACATAGTGCTAGTGCTCACGGTACATAGTGCTAGTGCGCACGATACTAAGGGCTATTGCTCTCGGTACATAGTGCTAGTGCGCACGGTACATAGTGCTAGTGCGCACGGTACATAGTGCTAGTGCTCACGATACATAGTGCTTGTGCTCTCGGTACATAATTATAGTGCGCACGGTACATAGTGCTAGTGCTCATGGTACATTGCTAGTGCGCACGGTACATGGTGCTAGTGCGCACAATACATAGTGCTAGTGCTCTCGGTACATAATTATAGTGCGCACGGTACATAATTATAGTGCGCACGGTACATAATTATAGTGCGCACGGTACATAATTATAGTGCAATGGGACAAGTTACGTCGGGCATTTATTTTCTGAAATTGGTCATCTGTGGACATCTTAGAAGACACGGTTTACTTGTACACAGTAGTCGGGATAAAAAATATTAGTTTTTTTCTTCTCTGTAGAATAAAAGCATTCAACACCAATAGTTTTATTTTTAATAAGTAATTTTTTATCTTGTTTAAAGAACTGTATGCTTAATTTTAAGGGCCCCACCATTCACAGTGGTAATTGCCCGATTCACAAGGGTACCAATGAAATCAATAGAAAGTGTCGGAAGAGGATTTCTTAGAATCGGTATGTCGTATATCTTTGTAACTTAAAACATGATTTTTTAATTAATTTTTCGTCTGGAATCATATCTAAATAAGTTTTTAATTAACAATTTGGTAAAGTTATCAAAAATAAAATCTAACTAAAATATTTCGCTCAGCGCTTTAACTTTCTGTTATGTTCAGTTCGTCAAATATATTTTTTCGTCGTATTCATCTTTTTTAAATTTTTTTTTCAGATTGTGTATAAAATGTCGGAAAAATACATACTGCACGGAATTACTTTGAGTCATAATTCATCAAAATTGACTCTGGAAAATTTTAGAATTTTAATTAAAGTGTATTTCGTTTTAGAGGGATAAGAACCCCATTTAGAACATTTAACTCATGAATCAGATAAACGGATGAAAGTAAATTATAAATCTGATTTTATATTTTTTGTTAGCTCTTAACGGCGCTTTGCGGTTCTTTTCTAGTAATAATATAAAATTTTTTCTCTGATGTTACTCAAATAACTATTCTCTCTGTTTAAAATTTTAATTTTCGACATTTTTATCAGTCAAAATATTTCAAATGTGTCTTTGTCATTAATTGTCCAATGTTGCTACATGATAAAAATGGTTCAACCCGTTTTGACGCGTATTGAAAATAGACAGATTTAGAAGACAAGACTTCTGAACCGATCGGGCCCAATTTTAACAAAAATGGGTTTGTAATTAAATGCACTAAAATATCTGAAAAATCCTAGAAAATTTCAGAGCAAAATGGTATAAAAGTGGTCGCAAAGAACTCTAATAGCCAATTTTTATAAAATAAAAAAATGAGGTACCTTTACATGACAAGTCATTTAATGAGTTCTTTGGGGTTTTTTTTCTTGCCTGGTTCGTTAGATCCATAGTTTACCAGATTCTTAATTCAATATAGAACTGGGATGTATATGTATTGCAGTAACCCGTCCATAGGGTGATGATGAAGGATTATTCTGTGGCCTGCTACGAGAGTAGAACCTAACCATTTCAAAGTTATTATCAACTAAGTCCGAGGATCATTTATTGAAATAAGCTGGTAACTGTTACTTAAAAAGAAAAATTAGTTTTAAAGATTATGCCTAAAAGCATAAAACATAGGATTAAGCAGAGATTGTGATAGCTTTTGATCCAAATCCACAGTTGATTTTTGATAAAGTTTTACTACAGGGTGTTCTACGAAATATTAAAAATTATAATATTAAATGGCAGTTTTTTTAAGATAAATAGAATTCAAAGTATTAAACGTTTTAGTAGATTTGTTTCACAAAATGAACGGTAAAAATATCTAATACTCGCAAGTAAAAGAAGAATTCATAATTATTTATCAACTGTCAAATTTCGGGGGACACCCTATATGTATGTGTTTATAAATTAAAAATTCCTTCTCCCCTGCCTTTGGTACCATTTCCACTTTGTTTTATAAGAATGTGAAGGGGGAGGGGGGAAGGCTATGATTTTACTTTGAGTGGTTTAACAATTATAATGAATGTCTCTGAAAATTAAAGCAAATCAACTTTAAAAAAGTGTGTCTTTAATGATATTGAATCAGTTAAATGTTTTAAATTAAAAAATTATTTTTTCCTTTTCCTGACAAACTTGTTTTTCTCAATCACATACATCACATACTTATCGACCATATTATTAATTAAACTCGTGTTTTAAATACTTTATTCAGTGCAAAATCTCATAAAAAATATTTCCATCTCGGATTAAACTCGGAGACTGTTTATGTCAGTTTTCTGTTTCATGTTTCCGACTTCGCTTCTTCTATCGCTCTGGCCTGAAAAAAAATTTTAATTTTAAATTTTTTACTGCACTTCAGATGAAAAGAAGTAATAACATAAGTTTTTTTTTATGAATTCTTCTAAACCTGGTATTGTGATGGTAAAAAGTTGAATGAAACATTGGTTCCAGCATCTAGGATCTTGTTGATCAACATCATTTCATTCCCTCTCTTCTCCATCTCCTTTTCCTCCGTCCAGCTCATGTCATGCTCCAACCTATACACAGAGTATGCTCCACCATTTTCCATAGAGCTGGGTTTGAGGTACTTTCATCATGTTTATTAACAAAATGTGTGTTGAAATATTCAAAACCCATTTAAGTATAACTATAACTTCAGAGTCTACCCAGTTTCAGGTTATGTTAACTGAGCCCTCTTGACTTCCCTTCATGATTGCAAATATTTGATTTTTTGAGGTTTCGAAATTAATTGTGTAATATATTTAAAAAATAATCTTAGTTTTATAAAGATACACAATACTTTACAGGGAAGTTAGGGGCATTTTAGTATACCAAAAGTTCCTAAGACAAACTTTGCCTTCAAAACATCCAGGGCGTGTAAGGTAAATGGGCAAGGGAACTGGGACCCGGTGTTTTGCGATCATGTATGGCCTGGTAGTCAAAAGTTGGTAAATATACACTACAGTATAATACAGAACTTAGAAAACATAAAATGTCGCCTTGACAATTTTTCAACAATTTTTCATACTATTATATAAAAATCTCTAACAATTTTACAACAATTTTTATACTAATATGTAAAGATCTCTGACAATTTTTCAACATTTTTTATACTATTATATGAAAATTTCTGACAATTTTTCAACAATTTTTTTACTATTATATCTAAATCTCAGTAATTGTATAATTAAATAAATGGGCCATGAAATATGCGGAAACAGTTTTGAAGAGCTCCAAATTAATAACTAAATATTTGCAGTATTCTATACTCAGTAGGTTTAGAAGATGACATTTAAAGTTCGTTCGATGTCTTCGAAGTTCCGGGTTGAACTATAGTTTCTTATAAACTAGCTTGGGAACCCAGCGTTGCACAGGGGGGTCAGAGTTAACTCACACCGATAACCAACCCCTTGTCGTAAATTACGATTTTAGCTATTTTTCCCGATAAAAGTCGACCAACTCAACTTAAATTCTCAAAACCAAGCTAATAACATTCCCGTGGCTCTCCCGAATTCCCCAATCAAAATTTGAGGCAAGTAGGTCCAGGGGTTCCAGAGTTATGATCGGACAAACAAACAACCAGAGATTACAACTTTATGAATATATAAAGATAATGTATTATAAACCTGTAACGTGCAACAAACTCGGGTCCTGTTGCTCCCCACTCCTAAATATAAATTTTTGATTTTTAATATTATTTCATTTTGGGCTTTTTAATTCCTTTTAATTATTAAGGTTTTTTGTTAACTGCAAGTGTAAAGCATGAACTTAATCCTGGGTTAGTATGGTTAAATTATTTGCTTTGATTTCTTGAGGTATGCTGAAATTGTGAAATTTTTCTTCTGTTACAGCTATTTTAAAATCAAGATTTCAGTGGTGTTTCTGGTCCAAATTTAGAATTAAGATTTTGAAAAACANCCCCCTCCCCCCTTGAATAAGCGGTACACCTCTGAGACATTATTAAACGATTAGTTACCTCCGGTGAGATCATGCTGATAAACTCCTTGTCTGGGTATTTCCTCTGTTTGTAAACGTAATACGTACTTCCAGGGATCTTCTTGAAGTTGCATGAGGTTTGATGGAGCAGAGCGTTCAATCGAGCATCTTCCAGAACCTTTCGAGCCTGCTCCTGCAGGAACCGAACCTTCACACAAACATTAATAAGGTTATAATCATTATTATTAACCAGCCTAGAAAAACTAGAGGAGTCTAATTGACAATTTTTTTTAGCAATTATCTGGAGTACTTAATTAAACTTTATTGCAACCTTCCAAACTAAGATGCCTAAAATTCGTCAAATTAAACTAGATTACGAAATTTAGGGAACCCACCTTTGCCAGAAATCTAAGCTTTCCTTATTAAAAGTCAAAATAGTTAACTTAGAATTTTAAATCAAGCGAGTTCTGAGTTCCGCAACCAATACAAAAGACAAATCGTCTAAGGGGTTTGTGAGTTATGATTGGATATAAAAACGGACAATCAAACAACCAGAGATATCCACTTCATAGATTTAGAAGAAGCTGAATCTCCAAAAAAGAAAAAGATTCACCTGTTCTGCTATGATTGAGAGTTTACTACCAGCTGTAGCTCTAGTAAACTGATCAGCTGTCTGTAGCTGGCTGGCCAACTCAACTAAAAAGGTAAATTTCAAAATTATCAAATTTATTTTTCTGAAGATTGGTAGGGTTGTTTTATAAAGAGTGGTTTTCCGAACCAATATTTAAGCAAGATTTGTCACTCAAAAATATCCTGTTCCATTTAGTGCGCGTACAGAAAACCGAGTTTTTTTACAGGGATTGAACACATTATTTTAACTAGATATCTGTCTAATTATATTTATTGTTTATTGTTGTGTTTCCTCAACAAATCACAACAGTGCATTTTAAATCTAGAACCGATGAACGTCGAGAAAAATTTAGCTAAAATATGGAATAAAACAAATCTTACTCAGATCTTGCCTATCTGCATTACATGAATTCAGACGCTACTAATTACAAAACAGTCAAATTAAACTAGATTACGAAATTTAGGGAACCCATCTTTGCCAGAAATCTAAGCTTTCCCTATAAAAAGTCAAAAAAGTCAACTTTGAATTTTTAAACAAGCGAGTTCCAAGTTCCGAAACCAAAACAATGGGTTTGTAAGTTATGATTGGATATAAAAACGGACAATCAAACAACCCGAGATATCCACTTCATAGATTTAGAAGAAGCTGAATCTCCAAAAAAAAAAAATCACCTGTTCTGCTATGATTGAGAGTTTACTTCCAGCTGTAGCTCTAGTAAACTGATCAGCTGTCTGTAGCTGGCTGGCCAACTCAACTAAAAATGTAAATTTCAAAATAATCAATTTTTATTTTGCTGAAGATTGGTAAGGTAGTTTTATAAAGAGTGAATTTCCCAACCAATATTTAAGCAAGATGTTGTCACTGAAAAATATCCGTTTCATTTTGTGCGCGTACAGAAAACCGAGCTTTTTTTACAGGGATTGAATACATTATTTTGACTAAATATATGTCTGATTATGTTCATTGTTCAGTATTCCCTCAACAAATTACAACAGTGCCCTTTAAATCTAGAACCGATGAACGTTGAGAAAAATTAAGCTTAAATATGGAATAAAACATTCAATGAACGCTACTAATACAAACCTATTAGATATTGGTTTAATTGCTAAAATATGGAGTAAAACAAATCTTTTTCAGATCTTGCGTGTCTACAATATAAATGAAAGAAAAAAGAAATGTTATATTACAGCCTACAGGGGGGGGGGGGAGGATTTCAAGACAATATTTACCCCTTTAGCAGATGACATTGAACTTCAGTACTTAAAAAAACCACTGTGAATCAATAGTGACATTTGGTAAAAGGAAGTCTGCTTAATATCTGAGAAATTGTTACCTGACATATTTGTTTAACTGACCTAAATCCATCTGAGTTTTCTTTCCAGATTTATCTGGATCTACAAGCTGGTATCCTCCTGGTCTTGTGTCACGTTCCACCAGGTTTACCCTGGAACAACAAAACCATTACCTTCTTCAACTTGGGCTTCATGGAGGGGGGTATTGTGATGGTAAAAAGTTGAATGAAACATTGGTTCCAGCATCTAGGATCTTGTTGATCAACATCATTTCATTCCCTCTCTTCTCCATCTCCTTTTCCTCCGTCCANAGCTTTTTACTTCTTAAAGAGCTTAAGAACGGGAAATGTAGACTCTCAGTACCCCCCCCCCTGGACTCTCTTGGAAATGAATCTGCTAAATAAAGGTTTATTAAAAATATACCCAAAACAAGTGTTAACTCCAGTAGAATTTTATAGAATAGGATATTCTTAATTTTATTGGCAAGCTTATAGGAATGACCGAGTTCAACTTTAGATCAACGGTAATTTCCTAGAGAACGATTTTTGGACACCCCCCTCCGTCCTATCAATTGTGTACATTTTGTAAAATTGGTCATGTGGCCGCAGCGCCGGCCCCCTAGCCTGACTTAGCCGAGGCGCTCGGCCCCCTAGCCTGTACTAGCGGCCCAGAAATGGTCTTAACCTAACCTAACCCTCAATAATAAAAAGTGCGCTCGGCCCCCTAGCCTTTGCTAGCCGCCGCGCTCGGCCCCCTAGCCGCAGCGCTCGGCCCAGAAATGGTCTTAACCTAACCTAACCCTCAATAATAAAAAGTAAATTTACAAAATTGATAGGAGGGGGGGGTCCAAAAATCGTTCTCTAGGACGGACCCAAATCAACCATATTTGTTTTATTTACGAGATAAAACACTTACTTTGACTGGAAATTAGGTTGCTGAGGATTCATCATTACTAGTTCTTGTTTTTTAAACCCTCTGTCGTCGATATTCGCCATATTTAAGCTCTTTTATATCTCTGAAAAATATCTATTTGAAACTAATATATTTAACTAATGTATTTACGCAGTGTATGTTTGTGTTAGATGTGTCCGGCTGTGAAGTATTAACAAGAGTGAACGAATACAAGTTAAACCTGGTCTAAAATCAGCTGATTATGTAAACATATTCTCGCTTTTTTACAGTCGAAATTCATTAAAAATGTTTTAATTACTTATTTGCCTTGGAATTGCTTTACAAATTTGAAATTTAGAAAAATAATATTTAAAATTTTGTTCGTTAAGTTCAAAAAAACTTATGGATACATTCTACTGTATACAAAGTTGCGTAAATTTTTATTTACATAATGAAAGAAATGAAAGCTGAAAATTCCGTGACGGTACGGGAGTTTTGGCCTTGGCCAGCCACAAACCGGCTTTACTACATGGCGGGAATTTCAAATTGTGGTAAATTTTTAAATCTTATTTTAATTATAAAGAGGGTATATAACTTTTTGCCAGATGAAGTGAAACGTGTTAGTATAGAGTTATTTAAGAACAATTTTCAAGAAAGACATTTTTTACATTTTATGTAAATTTGAAAAAAAAAACTTTCTGAACTATCTATTTACTAATTAAGAAGTGTTCTGAAGGAAAATTAAAATGATCACCCTATATAACTGTGGGATTTGTAGACGCACAGTTACGTAATCTTGTGTTTTTTGATGTTGTAGCCCCCACCCATTATGGTGGCCGCGGGGCTCGGCCACCTTTATCTATATCTTGCCCCGCGCCGCTCGGCCACCTATTATATATCAGTCAAAATATCGGCTAATTCAATATATATGCATGTATATTGAATTATAATATATATATGTTTATACCTGTAAAGAGTATAGTGAATAGATTGTAACTAATAAAATTAAACTATTTATCTTATTAAGATGACTGACTTTCTTGAAAATTAATTCAGATATTGATTTGTAAAAATTTGGTAAAATTGAAAAGTAAATGTGTGGATAGTAGATTCTAAAACTAAACTGTAAATTCGATTAGAACTTGTTAACGTCTTATTACGCAGTTTCACTGCTCATAGATTCAACTTTATATTTCAAAGGCCAATAGATATTGGGTTGGTTTGATGGGGTGGTTGGGATGGGGTGGAGGCTTAGGTAGACTTGACCGTTGTGAGGCGTAAAACTTCTGCACAGAGTAAACAATATAAGGAAAAAGGATAAGACTTCAATGTTCATAACCGGGAAGAGAACAAAATTGATCATGGACAATAAATAATGGAGATTATGGATAACGGATAACGGATAATGGGTGATGGATAATGGAAAGTTAATAGGAGATAAAGAATAAATTGGATCATGATAATGTATTAATAATGGATTAATAATGTTTTAATAATGGATTAATAATGGATTAATAATGGATTAATAATGGATTAATAATGGATTAATAATGGATTGATAATGGATAATTTGGATAATAGATAATAGATAAAGGATGATAGATAATGGATATTAGATAACGGATAATAGATAATGGATAACGGTTCGGGTTAATAGATAATGGATATTTCATAACGGATAACAGATAACAGATAATATATAACGGATACTAAAAAAATGGATAATTGTTCCAGGACTCCTTCTTCACCTACAGACCCGTCTTCATGACTCTGCGCTTCAACCACAATATATCTGCGCAACTTGTAATGGTTAGTTTAAACAATATTTGACGCTAGCTGGAGTGCCCAGTGTTGCCCGAGGAGTTAAAAAAATCGAATATTAAAGAAACTTTGATTTCAGGGTACCCATGAGTTTACTCAAAAAAAATCTGCTAATTCGGTCAATCCAGTCTTTAGACCAGCTATAGCTAACGAATAAAAAAAATCAAATTTTGAAAAGATATTTTAGCCTGTGTTACTCCTAGAGTACCTATGTGTTTCCTCAACAAATCTCAGCCAATTCGGCCCAGCCGTTTGGTCAGCTTTAGTTAGTGATACGATTTAGTAGTTAACATACCTCCATGCATCCAAATACCAATAAATTTCGATGTTTTAATTTATATGTAAATCGTAAAACAATGGCCCTAACTTGACTTTGTATTTTCCTCTTTTTGCAAGAAAATCTTGTGGCCAAAGAAAATCTCTTAATATTTAATTGTTTCTTTAGAAATAATCGATGGCTTCTTGACTCTGAGACAAAGAGCAGTAAATAATGAGAAAATAGTTCTGAAATATCAACTTGAAATTGCACAGAAAGGTAATCAGTGTCCCCCCCCCCCTCCCCCTAAAAAGTATATTTTGCTTATGTTGTGACAATTTTGTATTTTCCCTAAAAATCTTCGTTATTATNCCCCCCCCCCCCTCCCCCTAAAAAGTATATTTTGCTTATGTTGTGACAATTTTGTATTTTCCCTAAAAATCTTCGTTATTATTTACCCCCACAGCCCCTGGATCTGGGAAGGGGGTAATTTTTTCAATTTTCAAGGTAAAACTATTTCGCGCTCTCGTTTTGTTCACTTATTTACGATTTTTGATTATGTTTCCGTAATAACACGCTTTAGGTTTTCAACTTTAATTAATGTTCAGGATTGAAAGAAGTGTTAGAACAGATAAAAAATACGGATGAGTATGAGGAGAATGAGATAAAAAATACGGAGGAGTACGAGGAGAATGAGAAGCATGGAGAGATGAAGACTGGCGAGGATGATGAGGATGCTGCATCTATTCTCAAACCAGAGTCATTTCAGTGCAACCAATGTGAAGAAGTATTTAGTGAAAATTCTATTTTAAAACATCACATGAAGACAAAACATCCGCCCAACCATGAGTGTTCTACTTGTAATCTTGTTTTCAAGCGGAAACATTCGTTAATTAAACACAAGAAAAGCTTTCATGATGGATTATTTACTCCCTGTGATATCTGTGATAAACTCGTGAAGGATCTGGGATATCACAAGAGAAGTGTTCACAAGAAGATTTTGTTCAATTGTGAATCTTGCGGTAAATCCTACACGTCTAAGGTAATAGCAATGATTGAATATTTTAAAATGTTGTAATGAATGGAAATTTCTTACCATCTTTCTTAAGCTTGGCGTCTATATTCTTATAATATAATTGGGGTTTGATATTTATTTAACAATAATTTAAACAACTTCAATTGGCAAGTTTTTCGGGTTTTTTGGCACTTTTACCCAAAATTTTATTATTTTCCTCCTTAAAATATCATCAGTTTTCCTTAATTTCTTGACTTTTAAAAATATTCATTATCTGGGCAGTGTTTAGGATCCGGATCCGTTGGATCCGCAACATTTTGGCTTCCTGGATCCGGATCCGGATCGGATTCAAGGGGAAAAATATCAACCAAAACCAAAAGCGCTGCTCTCCATAAACAAAATATAATTTTTAACTGATAATAAATTAACAAAAATCTCCAAATTTCTGAATGGTGAACATTTACATATTTTAAAAAATCAGTAAATCTTGAAGAAATGTTCAGGACCTGGATCCAGTATCGGATCCGGATCCATTTTTTTCCAGGGCGGATCCAGGATTCGGCTCCGCATCAAAATTAAATGAATTCTATGCGCTATCTAAGGAAAAATCGTGTTTTTCTAAAAAATATGTAACTTGATGTTAAGGTTTACTGAAAAAATATTTGTTCTTAGAGTGCGCTGGATTATCATAAACAGAGAGTTCACAGTACAGACAGTACAGATGTGTGCCAGTACTGTGCAGCTGAGGTAAACTGTACACCAGTACAACATACTGTACAAACTTCTACCTGTTTAAAGGGACTGTCAACGTAATTAGGAGTAATCCTTTCAGGGGTGTATATTTGTCATTCATGATTGTTAATGATTTGAAGAAAAAAATGAAAAGTGGAACTTTAAAGAGGCAAGGTTTTTCATTCTTATTGATTTTTTTACCCCAAAATTCCAGAAGTTCTGAGTTGAAGCATTTTTCGAAGTGTCTTCTTTATACATACAGAAAAATTGATATTTTCTCTAATTAAGCATTGAAAATCTTACAATAACTTTAAGGAAAATATATTCACCCCTGAATCCTCTTCTGAAGTAGCTTTATGTCGGGTTCACAACTGTACCGTTTAAAGTTTCGTCTAAGCAAATTTGAAAAGGGATTCTAAAGTTACAGTAAAGTGAATTTAAGCATGCAGTATTAGAGAAAAAAGACTGGCACAGAATTCAATGCTCATGTAAAGGTACCGTTGTGAATCATACTTGCCACTCTACAGGTTGAAGTTCACTTAAATTGCTTCTATATTACAGTCACTAAAAGAAGAGTTGTACCTGTATATACACTTGGGTGTTGAAAAAAGAGAATACAGTACAGTACACAGTACAGTGTAGTGCAGTGCAGTGCATGCAGTGCAGTACAGTACAGTACAGTACAGTACAGTACAGTACAGTACAGTACAGTACAGTACAGTACAGTACAGTACAGTACAGTACAGTACAGTACAGTACAGTACTACAGTAAGTACAGGACAGGACAGGACAGGACAGGACAGGACAGGACAGGAATGGACAGGACATGGATTTTATGAAGACTTTCCCTGTTCAGAGTATGAAATTTTATACGAAATTGAAGCACAGAGGTTAAGTAGATAGAATTAAGTATTCGTTATTTAGTTGTCTGTGAAGAGTATGAAACTACATATAAAGCTAAAGCACAGTGGTCAAGTAGAAAGGACAATTCCTTGCCAGCATAATAATTGTTCTAAACTTTTCAGGTTTTAATTTAAAAAAATTATCGATTAGATTATTTATTTCTATTCTATTCAACTGTAGAATAGGAAAATTCGTGTTTTGATTTCAAATAGTTCAAAGAACATATAACACAGCAATCGTTCAAGCGGCCGGTAAAACTATTTGTTTGATTACAACATCAAATACACATTAGATTGCTTCCCATTCCACAGTTTTATAGATTTCAAATCATAACTTGATCTTCCCATTCCACAGTTTTATAGGGGTCACTGTATATTGTATAACAAACATGTATTTATCGCTATTGTATTTGTATTGTAAAACTATTCAATTTTCATTGTTATTTTTATATTTATCGAACAATTCATATCATACCAACTTAATGTATATTTATCTTTCTAAATATCTATTAATTCCTCTATCTGTATTTTAGAAATAAACAGCGACTTCATGTCTACTTAATTATGTATCTGAACATTTATTTAACCATTTATCTACTTATCATCTTTCAATCTATTTATCTATCTGTCTATTTATCAATCTATCTATCAATCAATCTTTTCATCAATCTGTATATCTATTTATCTATCTATCTATCTATCCATATTTTCATCTGTCGTTCTGTCTATCTATCCTCGTATATCTATCTATCTATTTATCTATCTGTATTTTAGAACTAATCAGCAGGCAACAGTTCATTATAAGACAACGCATCTGAACATGAAAGTAAGAGAATAATAAAGTACAAATTATAATTAACATCTGCCACTTCCTATAGATAATATATACACTAAACAGGTTATTTCTTTCACAGATGGGATTCAGAGATAAATTGTAGGTCACAGTGGGTCTTGGTCTTCAGGTTTTCTTATTCAGATTTAATTTCCTAAATCATAGATGCTGTACAAACTGACCTAGAGGAAAACCGACCTGTAGTTTTGTTCATAAGTTATTTAGAAGTTATAACTCCCCTCTCGTTTTTACGGATTCCACATTATATATAATTATCCTCTAACATCCAACTCCACCTTATCATCTCTAACTAACTTAATCAACTTAAACTAACCTAATCAGCTTAAACTAACCTAATCAGCTTAAACTAAGCTAATTAATTAAACTAACCTAATCACTTTAACTAATCTAATCAGCTTAAAGGGAGTGTTCGCGAAAAATGAAAGGGGGTATAGGCTTAATGCGATAAAAAAGCGCTTTTGATCGCTTCCAATCATACTTATATCTGTTGCGTCTATAAGGAGAAAATTGTTAAAAACGACTAATACCGAAGAACGTAGTGCCCATACAAATTCAGAAAGATGCAAAATTTAACTCGGATCGTAAACAATCAATTTAATTTCAAACAAATCATTTAGATATTAAAAACAATAGTCATCGATTATTTTTCGACGCATTCGTAAATAGTTGATATTTCATAATATTTTGTATTTTTCATGATCTGAGAATTACTTTTGAAAACATTTATTCCTGTTTCGAGGATTTTCGATAATGAAGACGACATTTTCATATTTTCCAGGAATGTTCGAAAATCCAACGCCAGCAAAAATTATTTAAAAAAAAAAAAAATCAAAAATATTATGAAATATTAACTATATACGAATGCGTCGAAAAATAAACGACTACTACTGTTTGTAATATCTGAATGATTTGTTTGGAATTAAATTGATTTGTTTACGATCCGAGTTGAATTTTGTATCTTTCCGAATTTGTATGGACGCTGCATTCTTCGGTGTGAGTCGTTTTTAACAATTTTCTCCTTATAGATGCAACAGATAGAAGTAAGATTAGTAACGATCAAAAGCGCTTTTTTATCGCATTAAGCCTATACCCCCTTTCATTTTTCGCGAACACTCCTTTTGAACTAACCAAATCAGCTTAAACTAACCAAGTCATGTAAACTATACTAATCAGCCTTAACTAACCTAATCAGCTTAAACTAACCCAATCAGCTTAAACTAATCTAATCAGCTTAAACTAGCCTGATCAGTTTAAACTAGCCTTATCATCTTAAACTAGCCTAATCAGCTTAAACTAACCTAATCAGTTTAAACTAATCTAATCAGCTTGAACTAACCTAGTTAGTTTAAACTAACCTAATCAGCTTAAACTAACCAAATTAGCTTAAACTAACCTAATTAGCTAAACTAAACTAATCATCTTAATCTTTATTTATCAGCTTAAACTAACGTAATCAGAATAAACTAACCTAACTGTTTTTTGGTATTCTTCTTGCCTGGTTTATTAGATCCATAATCTACCAGATTCCTAATTCAATATATAACTGGGATGTATATGTATTGCAGTAACCCGTCCATAGGCTGATGATGAAGAAGTCTTCTAAGGCCAACTACGAACGTAGAAACTAACCCTTTTTAATATCAGAAAAAATGTTAGGTCGAAAATCACTTTGGTCAGTTTTCGTATCTCAAGTTCTGTCCTAGTTAAAGTCGTCGTAACTTAAATGTCGTCTTTTCAAGAAAACTTATTGTTATTCACATATATATTTGTATCCAAGTTTTCACTTATTATCTAAATTATATGTTAAAAAACATAAATAGTTTAAATTCGACAATTTTCAAAGCCAAAACAATCGTGAAAATCAGTAACTGTGAATTCTTAGTAAATATAGATGCACCGATAAAATACTCGTAAGCAATCAACAAATCCCCTAATTTTTAATATAAAAGTTATATTTTCTAATAATTTTTTCTTTCTTAATTGAGAAAAAAAAAATCTTTTGCTAATGTTTTATTTTCTTTTTTTCAGGAAATGTGTTGTTACTGTAATAAAGAGTTTAAAAACCTAGTTTCTCACATTAGTCAAATTCATAAACAGAGCAAACATACTTGTGATCAGGTGAACATTATACATTATACATTATACATT